GTAACTGCCATCAACCAGGTTCTGTAATCGGACGTATTTTGGCTGCTGCGGCTTTGATATGACATTTGTAACCGGGCATTTTTTTATTCCATTTGACTCGCTGTGTATTTCAATTTTGCTAGCTCGTTGTCCTTTGTCCAAGTCGCCGTTCGTCGTTGGCTTTGTTGGTGTTTCGTTTATAATAACATGTTCTTTCTTCGTGCCTCCATCCGTCAAAGCCGACTCCTCTTTCGGGGGTTTCGGGAGTGTTTCTCCATTCACCTCCCCGTTCATGTTGGTCGTGGTAGTTTTTAAAGGACTGCTTGCTCTCGTTTTTCGCACAGTCTTCACAGTACCTTTGTCGTCGAAGGCTGTTTCCAGATACGCATGGAATCCTTTAGCGCGTATTTTATCATCATCACCTCTCCGGTGGGAACTTTGTCAAGAATTTCTAACGCCTTATGGTATGGCACGTTCTCCAAGGACTTGCCATTCACTTCAAGGATGACGTCTCCAGCTTGAATCAAACCTGTCTCATGCGCTACTCCGCCCTTAACGACGTGTGACACGGCGAGGTATGGACAAATGCTACGCTTGTTCGTCAAAAAACCCACGCCGCCTAACTTGCGCTTTGCAATGTTAACCGTTATCCTGCCGTCGCTGGAATCGTCCATTTTATCTCCTCTTTAACAACATAGACCCACGTACCTGAAAGAAATGAGAACAAAAACAGTTGTTGTTAAAGGAGCTATGTCACGATATTTTAAAGTCATTTTTGCGAAGTGCAAAATCACCTTCAAACTGAAGAAAGCCTCAAAATAATAGTTTACTAAGGTAGAAAAACACCAAAGAGTTGATCATAAACCAAACTGGAACAAGGATGATTGAGGGTGGAGAAGATTAAGACGGATTGCGAACGGGCAAACTTGAAAAAAATTGGCCAATTTTTTCAAGATTTGGCGACCTAACTCCTTTAAAGGTCAAATGCAACGAAATTTGGCATTTTTTTCTTTTGTCGCGAAAACTGTTCTTTATACTAGCATCAATCATACTCAACCCTCAAAAGCTGGTTTGGGGCGATTTGTGGCGCTTATAAGGCACGAAATTCGATAATTTCCGAGAATTTCCGACGGCTTAACGAAAACGAACCAGGAATGACCGCGCTTGGAATGGAAACGAATTTGCTGTTTTTGTGATGTCATATGTGGTGAGCTTGTTTTCACGCGCGTGTTTTCGCGCGTGTTTTCAGCAACGTGTGAAGGTCGATGCGAAGAAGCTTTTACTGAATTTCTCACATTATATTGCTCTCTTATCATTGACACGTGAATGGAGAACTACGCAGTGGAATTAAAGAACTTGCATTTCTTCAAAAAGGCGAGTGCTCATTTGATTTTAACCGACAGAATTTGAGTTTGTTGTTGTTTTGGAAATCCTGAGTTTCACCGCCCGCGCTAGCTAGCTTACGGTTTTTAAATTACAATCTCCGTGTTTAGACTCAATTCCTTAGTTTTAATCATTTGCTTTTCGTTTCTCCTTTTTACTACACAAACCTTCCGTTAAGTTTCATTCAAGAAAGAACCTAGTGATACCGGTAGTCCCGGCAGAAAATAATTCTCGGCAAGTATAAATTTATAGTTGCGCCGTACGTTGAAATTGAATGCAAGCTTGAATTGAGTTTGGCGAGGCTTCGCATAAAATGAAAATTGTAAATTGCCACCCGACCGAATGCAAAAATTAGATTAACATGGGAAATGAAATTGTAGAAAACTGAGGAAACAGTTTTACTCGAAAAATGCTTTCAAGAGTATTGAAGAATGAAGATTGTCCTAAAATTTGCCGGTTGCGACTTTGAATGGTTTTTGTGTTAATTTGAAATAGCTTCTCATTTCAGCTGCTTTTAGTGGTGAAATTCTGTTCGAGGCTCCATCGTCTGTTCTTCGCAGCTACGTACCTTTCTGTAATTACATATTTCGGTATAAGAAATTAATCGTCCGAGTTTCTTGTTATTCGGTAGTGTTTATAGCGACCTTGCGTTAATAAAAACAGATTTTCAAGATTTCTAGCATCACAGAACCATGCAAGTAGGAAACAAATAAAAACGTTATTTGCCGGTCTTTTTATTGTAGGCTCAGATTAGAAAAGTAGTTTGTGGATCTGTCAAATCAAACCTGATGCAAGAAAGTTTGCGACTTTATACCTTTAGCTTTCTGCGTTTCGCAAAGGCTGAACGTCGTGAACGACCGCATTCCGTGTTCGTCGTGCTTTTTGAAGGACATTCTTGGTCATGCCGATCAATACTTCGCTTTATTCCATAGTTGAAAATGGTCGGTAAAGCATCAGCTTTCAGTCGAAGTCTTCGTGGCTTGAACTGAGATCCCAGGTGTGCCCTAACTCAACTGAGATTCTGCTCGAAGCTTTCAGGGGAGAAATGCACGGAGCAAAGACGAGATGCTGCAGTTGGCGTGAAATCTTTCCTTTTCATTAATCTCACCCATTCCTTGCATCTCTTCTCGTCTTTAGGGAATGTAAAAAAGCTTACGCCTGATTTTGAACAGTTACTACAGTTAAAAGCAGCACAAAACACCATACTTGTTGATGTTTTGAAACTGCAGAATTTTGTAATTCTCGCTCTTCTCGCGGACTCGCGCGTGTATGTGACGTCATATGTGGTGAGCTTCCCATTTCCGACAATTTTCCGAAGGTTGCCCGAACGCTTCCGTTTGTAGGCTCGATTTCCGCCGCTCACTCGAGTCCGGTCTTCGTTCCTCCTAGTCCAGTTCTGGCCCCTCTCTGTCACGCAACGCTACGTCAAGGGTCCAGGGACAATTGTCTGCGCATGCTCACGATAAACCAATCACAGCGCATCTTAGCTCACATGTGACTTTTAAACTCGACAAACCGAGTCGAGAAAGAGAAAATATATTTGGTCGCCATCAGTTCCTTCAGTGGAGATTTTAAAACTAAAATACTCCGCTCTTCCTTTGACTTAACACCTCGCAAATTATCACAGGCATGAAGGGAATGTGTAGGAGAACATATTTCAGTGTTGTCTTGATCAGTCGGTATATTATCGTTCACGTATTAATCGCTTATATGTCAGCACGTTTATAATTGCATGTTTATATAATAATTGTATGTTCTCGCATGATTAATTGTAGCCTAGTTGTTTCGTCGGATATGATGTTTCAATTAAGTCACGAATGCTGTTATTTTAGTGTGCGAGTTCTCTTTTAACAAAAGCAAGCACGTTTCGGTGGAGCTCTCCCACCGAGTGAAATAAACCTTCTAGATTGTAGTTGGAGTGTTTTGTCCGTTACTGGTACCTGCTACATCTTTACACAAGAAGAAACAGCCGAACTTACAGCATCTACAAATACAGGATCGTATTCAGGAAACATTTCTCTATACTTTTCACTGACCGAGGGCGCCGGAAGAGATCGAAACATCCGTCATCTTGTCAGTATAAAAATACATGCGCAGTAGCGATTAGCTAAGAAGCTGACTAACCGTTGAGCATGCGCAGACAATTGTCCCTGGACCCTTGACGTAGCGTTGCGTGACAGAGAGGGGCCAGAACTGGACTACGTTCCTCCCCGAGAAGAACGGCTGGACGCGTGAGCGAACAGCCGTGTCTGTGACGTAATCAAAAAAATTAATTTATGTAACGCTACTCCGGCTCGTGACATTCGTTTATTTTCCATTATCTCTTATATTTTCGAAAGAAAAAGATCTGATCTGAAATATTCCGCGAAGGATATTGATTTCTCGCCTTTATTGTGAAGCTATATGACTGAAAACCCGGGATGAAAAATATTACAAGATGTAACATGACCAGTCCGTGACAAGAAACAATGTTTTGATGCAATTTCGCCAAAGACGTCGCGTTCTTACACCACATGATTTGCATAAAATCCCAGATCAAATTTATCACACAAGTTTACCGACTGTTTCTTGTATTGTATAGTACATTTTGAATGTCCAAATGGATCTCATCAGTTCCCTTGTGCGGTAATAGTAGTGTCTTGCTCCCCGGCTTAGCGCGAACTTGCCGTGATGTATTTCCTTGGTGCGGATAAAAAATCCATCCTGTCGGTTGAATTACCAAGACATCATGCCCATTAATTGATTCCTGTTGCCTATCTTCGAGAGTTTCAAGGTTAAATATATCTTGAAGACGATCGAACGCCGCATCAAACAACTCTTTGCATCAGATTGAAAGATAATTTATGCCGGACGAAATTCTGCAGGCGGTATTCTGATTGGCTAAAACCAACAAAAGAAACCTCACGCGTCCAGCCGTGAGTTCGGGGGGAGGAGCGCGGGCTCATTTTCCCGAACAGCGGCTGGTAATCGAGCCTATTCCGTTTGTGGAAGCGAAAAAAAAGGCGGTTTTCAAAGTCGAATATCTCGACGACGTTTTGTCCAAATCGTTTCAAACTTAAGAATATGACTATTCATAATATTCCCTATTATTTCGACTTAAAACTAATCTTACTAAAATTTTGTTGCATTTGACCTTTAACACTTAAAAGTGTTAAGCTTTTCAACTTTGAAACTTTACAACAATTGTAGCAATTTATATATATAGGCACTTAGTGCTGTGGCATTTCTCGTGACTCCCTTTCCATTAAAATTTCTAACGCGACACAGATAAAAACCCGAAGGATTTAAAATTAACAGTTTGGTTTTTAAGCACGAATTTTACTTACCAGTTTTTCGTGATGTAGGTTAAAAAAGGCGATATTTTCGCAAAATTTGAAACCTTTGAGCCCTTTTCTCTCTGAAATTTTGAGGCTTTCTTCAATTTGAAGGTGATTTTGCACTTCGCAAAAATGACTCAAAATATCGTGACACAGCTTCATTAACGTGGATAGAAAATATATCAACTATGAACAGTTCACTACTCTGTTTTATGGTCTGATTCTCGTAGAGAAATAACGGGGGTAAACGGGTTTTGCTTTCCAGCAGACTCATGCTTCTAGCGCCAATGATAATAATTTGTTTATTGATTTTTTGTGGGAGACGCGATGGCCTAATGGTTAACGCATTGGACTCTGGATCGAGCGATCTGGGTTCGAGCCCTGGCCAGGGTCATTGTGTTGTGTTCTTGAGCAAGACACTTTAATCTCACAGTGCCTCTCTCAACCTGCGATGGGCTAGCATCCCATCCAGGGTAATAACAATACCGTAAAGTTCCTAAAGTAGCGACCCTCGTTACTTTCGGAATTAGCAGCCTTTGAGGCTCGCTACTTTCGGGGGCTCGCTACTTTCGGGGGGTCGTTACTTTCGGGGAACAAAAACCGTTAAACAAAATTATACGGGTTTCGTTTTTACACAGCGCAACATGAAAACACATTAATGCTTTGTGGCATAATCGATAGCTTCCCTTGTTGTAAAGTGCCTTACTGTGATCACGTTATGACACTGCACGAAGATTACTTATACAATTGACTATTGATTGGAAAAAAAAATGTATGTGTATAATTAAAAAAAAAAAAAAATTGGTCTCGCTACTTTCGGGATTTATTAGCAGCCACAAAATGTTGACTTTACTTTCGGGGGGTCGTTACTTTCGGAACTTTACGTACTCCCAGTCGGCTTCATGCTCTCAAAACCGGAGTTGAGCGCCGGTTTTATAAACCACGCAGCCTTGTAAAGAGATTTTAACTTTTTTTATTCATTTTACAGTTAGCTCAAGAGTTCTCGCAGTTTGGTTCTGTGGACGTGAAAATTTTGGACTCGCAGCATGCGCTGGTCGCTGTTGCGCAACACAGAAGGTGAAAAGAACACTTGGCTCGATTTTCGCCGCTCTTTCGAGTCCGGTCTTTTCCCGAACAGCGGCTGGTAATCGAGCCTAGTGTTGAACATGTTCAACAATTTGTCTATTAGAGCTGTTTTCATTCGAGTGTCGTAAAACCAAAGCAATTACAATGGCCAATCACAGCAAACGTAAATAACAAAATGAACCAATGAGAACTCGAAGCAAATACACGTCACCGGCGCCAAGCGCGGGAAAACGCGTGCGACCAAGTCGCGATTGGTTTTGGTTTTGGTTTGGTTTTGGTTTTGGTTTTGGTTTTGGTTTTGGTTTTGGTTTTGGTTTTGGTTTTGGTTTTGGTTTTGGTTTTGGTTTTGGTTTTGGTTTTGCATCTGATTGGTTGAGAAGGTGGCGCGAGTATTTTAAACCAATCACAGAGCGTAGTAAAGCAAAAACCAAAGCAATTCCGGATTACTTTCGACACTCAATTGAAAACCGCTCCAAGCCGCCTCTTTTCTAGAACTTTCAAATTTTTTTAACAACAAACAGGAAACAGAATTCGAGTTTGGTTACTTGGCGGCATAAAATAATGTTACTACGGTTACTAGAACCCTTTCAAATGACATCAAACCTGTGACATTGATAACAAGGACACCTCTAATACGGACACTTTGGTCTGTCCCTTTGGTGTCCGTATTAGAGAGGTTCGACGTAGTAGTTATCGTGGTACTTATTAGGGTATACAGTCAACTCTCTCTAAGCGGACACCACTGTAAGGCAGACACCTCCCTAAGGCGGACATGGCTGGTCTCGGCCAAATTTCACTTGTTTGTGATGTCTGTAACTTAACTCTCTTTAAGGTGGCTCGATGTAGTTTTTTAGCGCTGGGGTGAGAGTTTTGAAAACAAAAATTCGATCAGAAGGCAATCTTCGATTTTTGTCATACTACACCATGATGATGACAAATGATGATAGATTTATTTTACACTGGTTTCCAAGCAACAGAGGTTACCAAAGCAACGATTTCGGCATCCTATTGGTTTTAAACAAGGCTGATTTTCTCGAAATCTAGTCGAAAACATTGCATTCATTTTTCATATTTTGAAGTATGCTAGTTTGACCACCTGTAGACGAAATTTCAAGAAATTCTGTAAGGCCGTTTTTGATAAAAACGGCACTGAACTTTTTGCGGTCGTGTTTGTGTATGTCCCAGAATTTACTTCAAAATCTTTCATTAAATTGAAGCTATATGTTCCTCCCCTCTGTTGAAGGATTTTTATGATATTAAAGACTTTGTAAGGTAAATGGATCACCCTCGGATGGTTACGATTTCAAAATATTCAATTTTGAAGAACTGCGCTTAGGCACCTCAGAACACGATCGAAGCGCCTAATTTACATTTAGCGGGATATTGCTAAAATGCTCTTACAGATTTTTTTTTTAAATTGTTAGGTGTTAGCGTGATGGTTGAACTTGATATTCCAATCGAAAATGCCATTAAAAATCGTTGCAAGCGTTAGAAAAATAACACCGAATTATGGGTACGTTTCGCTCGCTACTGTCTTTCTCCGAACAGGAATTTTGTTTATCTTGTTTCTGGTCAGTTTCTCTCTTGATGCACGTGCAATGAATATTTATTCCAAATGCCGCGTGTGGCCAGTCGTGCGTTTATGACTGAATATTAAATGAATTTTTAAGCAGGATATACATCAATTCTGTTCATCTTACTAATCTAATTTAAACAAAAATAAACCGTGTTTGTATTTAGAACGTCACGATTTAAACAAATGATCAACAACCACGCTAAACGAACTTTGGGTTCCCGTTTGTACGGTATGAGAGGGGAAGTAAAGGGAATGAATGGCACGGTAATCACGTACATTCAAAAATGTTTCGGCTATGCCGTCAAGCAAAACCAAAATGATGCTGCTAAAATGAAACAAAGTCTAGAGTTGATCATTCCGCACGCTTTTGGTGATCATGATTTCACTGCCTACGAAATTTCGTGAGATTCGTCAAAAAAATGCCAAACCTAGGGTAACAAAGAACAGAAGAGGTTTTAGCAAAGTTCGTATATCATTGCTATTGTTGATCATTTGTTTAATCGTGACAGTTCTAAATACAAAAATTAGATTAGTAAGATGAACAGAATTGATGTCTACCTGCTTAAAAATTCATTTATTTGTCATAAACGCACGACTGGCCACACGCGGCATTTGGAATAAATATTCATTGCACGTGCATCAAGAGAGAAACTGACCAGAAACAAGATAAACAAAATCCCTGTTCGGAGAAAAGACAGTAGCGAGCGAAACGTACCCATAATTCGGTGTTATTTTCTAACGCTTGCAACGATTTTTTAATGGCATTTTCGATTGGAATATCAAGTTCAACCATCACGCTAACACCTAACAATTTAAAAAAAATCTGTAAGAGCATTTTAGCAATATCCCGCTAAATGAAAATTAGGCGCTTCGATCGTGTTCTGAGGTGCCTAAGCGCAGTTCTTCAAATTGAATATTTTGAAATTGTAACCATCCGAGGTGATCCATTTACCTTACAAAGTCTTTAATATCATTAAAATCCTTCAACAGAGGGGAAGTACATATAGCTTCAATTTAATGAAAGATTTTGAAGTAAATTCTGGGACATACACAAAACACGACCGCAAAAAGTTCAGTGCCGTTTTAATCAAAAACGGCCTTACAGAATTTCTTGAAATTTCGTCTACAGGTGGTCAAACTAGCATACTTCAAAATATGAAAAAATGAATGCAATGTTTTCGACTAGATTTCGAGAAAATCAGCCTTGTTTAAAACCAATAGGATGCCGAAATCGTTGCTATGGTAACCTCTGTTGCTTGGAAACCAGTGTAAAATAAATCTATCATCATTTGTCATCATCATGGTGTAGTATGACAAAATCGAAGATTGCCTTGTGATCGAATTTTTGTTTTCAAAACTCTCACCCCAGCGCTAAAAAAACTACATCGAGCCACCTTAAGTCATTTGTAGTAGGGACTATAATGACTGTCCGTAAAATGCACTGGAATTAACGAAGAGATAAGTTAATTAAGATTTACCTTGAACAAAATCAGGTACTAGTATTTTCACTTTCTCCTCAGCTACCAATAGTTTGCAAGAAGGCTTTAAAATTCCAATGAGTCCTATCTGCACTTGAACCGTCCCAAAAAGTACGCAGAGATGGAAATATTTAGCAGCCAAATGTGCACTAACCTGACAGAGCTAATGCTTCTCCGTTCGAAGACGGATCGTTTCAAAATATATGATTTTGGAGGCTGAAGGAAGTAGTTACTGATTGGTCGGTGTGGAAGCTGGAGGTTGAATCACGTCACTGCAGGAAACTGTAGTAGGTTATTTTCACCCTTTAGAACTTCCTTCAGCGTTATAGACTATTATTTTCTTCCGCATATATTGAAGCTGAAAATAACTACTGGAAAGAAGTCAATAATTTGTCTGACCATTTCATTATTTCCCCATTACCATGTCAGTAGGAAAACCCCCGAGTCTAGAATTGAAACTGAAAGCAGATGACTATTGCATGTGGGTTGAGGTCACACTTGAAAGTTTTCTATGGTAAAAGGCCTTTACTATGGTAAAACTCATTAGTTGACTTTCACACTTCCCAGATGGTTCCTTGACACAAGAGTGTCACTCAAATGTTGAGTTGATGACAGACGAGAATAAATGCAGACATTCCTTGAATGTTTGTTTCTCCTTGCGTGACTCTCTCTGTGAGTCCGCCATGGATCGTGAACGTGTTGTAGCTTCGATTGTGGCTCTTTTATTTCTTATCGTTGCGATCCGAAAAGCTCAGAGATTTAGATTTCTGGTTCTCTACTTTCTCTATGAAAGGAGGCAACATGATCTCGCCAATATTCTTCTCGCAACAAGAATTAAGAGATTACAAGAGCGGAGGAGACGAAGAGAAGCTTTGGCAAGACGGAGGCGAGTGGCATGAGTATATCCGAGACCACAGGGATGGTTTGAAGAAATATATGGTAACCCGGTCATGTTTTCGTTGTGGAAAAATGGGGCAATATTCAGCACACTCAAGAAATACATCTCAAACAACTAGACAAGATGTCAACTAAACAAACAAAGTTTAGATAAACGCGCGATAAACCATACCCTTTCAGGTAGTTTTTACTATAGTAAACTTTGCTTTCATCCTGCCGCCGTTGCCAACGCAACAGACCAGACGTGCGTTTACCATGGTAAACTGAAAAAAGCCGGTCACATTCAAAAACGTCTTTACTATGGTAAACTTACCTTTACTATAGTAAAAAAAGCCCAAGTGTGACCTCAACCACTGTTTACTCTG